ATTAGAAAGTCCTTCAGGTAGCTAGGACTTAAAACACTTTTGAAAACCTCTAAAGAGAAAGAGATCAGGAGAGAAGGGAAAGGAACTGTTTTTATCAAGTGTCTTATGAATTATGACTACTTATTCACTAAAGGATTTGTGGCAAAAATTGGCATAGAAGGTTAGTGCACCCTTGGACCTGTTGTTCATGTTTTTGTGGAAGGCAACTCAAAACAGCTTTATCAGGAAAAAAAATCTTATCCAATTGGGTCCTAGAGAAATATATGACAAAGGCAGAGAATTTTGTTTTGCTCACTCTCCTAGCTGGCTTGTGAGCAAATGTCAAAAGGTAACTATATTGTCTGCATGTATGCATGTGTGTGGTTATTCCAGATGTGCCCATTGGAATACAGGCTGTAGGAGTTTGAGTTCAGTTTGAAGGTGGGGGGAGAAAAGATTATTAGGAATGTTTAGATTATTGTTACTAAGGCAACCTGCCTCTGAATTCTTAAGTGATGAGACTTGGAGACCTTTAGCTTACAAAAAACTAAATTATTCAAGATGCACGTCAGGATCTTGCAGTTTCTCAAGGTCATCTTCACAATATCAATTAGCAGTTTATTGGCAAAGCAAAGAGAAATAAACTTATGAGGCATCTATTAGAGATTTGGGATTGATAAGATTATAGAGAATGGTTTTATTATTGATTAAGACTAAGTTAATTAAACACTGTATTTCCTTTCTAAGTCCACCATTTTTCCCTTTCTTTTTAAAGGGGTAGATCACTAACCATCTCTTTAAATGCCAAGAACTTGGGAGATGATGGTTTTAAAATGTGTCACAGCAACTTAGCCCTCTTAGACCAGAAATTATAGACACAATCTTTTTATGTAAAAATTTACCCTTGCAGCTATAAATTCAAAATGCCTTTAATGAGGGAGGAAATTTTTCTCTATATTATCAATTAATTGTTGAGTCTAACTAATTGAAGATGCTTGTTTTTGTTTTCCAGTTACAGTTTACACACAGGGACGATCAGGGCCTTGTAAAGGAGCTAATAGCCTAAGACAGGTGAGGAAGTTTTATAATTAAGTGACTCTATGGCTTAAGAAATGCCTCAGGGTTTAAGTGGACTAGCTGCTTTTCTAGAAGGACTCAGGTTGAATTCCCAAAACCTTCATGGTGCTCACAGGCATCTGTAACTCCAGTTCTAGTGTCCTGAAGGCACCAGTTATACACGACATACATTCAGGCACAACACTTATAAAATAGGATGTTTTAAAATAATTACACATTAGAGCTATGCATTAAAAATTTAAGTATATGCATAAGTGAACATAAGGTTACACAGAGATTCCTAACATAATGTTCAGTTTGTTTTCATGTTGGTTTTTCTTCTAGAATTAATGCAGTTTCCTCATATACTTTGAACAGCCGCTTTCCTTTTTTTATTTTATTTTATTTTTTTCCCTATTTTTGTAAAACTAAAGGGTAAACTTGGCAGTGTGGTGTATGCATGTAATTACAGATGGGAGTAGGAAGACCAATTAATCTGAAGCTAACCTGAGCACATAAAACCATGTCTCAAAACAAAGATAGGAGTTTAAATTAATCATTGTTTTAAACATAGATGGAAGATTATTTCTGAAAGTGACATATATTTTCCCTGGTTATTAAAATTCCCATAGCATCAACTAACTAGTTTAACAATTACACGTTACCCTCTCAGGCTTTATTTAGTATTGATCTTCGATTACAAAAGTTTCTCTCTGAGGGCAAAAGGGAGGGAAGGAGGGAGGGAGGGCTAAAGGGGAGGGAGGGAGGGAGGGAGGGAGAGGGAACTGGGATCGACATGTAAAATAATAAATTAAAAAAAAATGCTTTGACTCCAAAATTTAAGTTGAATAACAAGTTACTGGGGAAAAGTATTTCTATTTTTGTTTCCACAGAAAATGAAAAGATGTGGATTCCTTACAGACTAATGTGGTTTGATCACACCAGACCGCCTGAAACAGAGTACAAGCTGATCCTACATTCCAAACAGCTGGACAAAACAGCCCTACAGGCTACAGCAAGGATATCTGAATCTTCTTCGAATCCCCCAAGACAGCGCCCCTTACTAGCAGGAAGTAGTTTGTAAAGAACGACGCCCAAATTCCCAAATATTGTGTATAAATGTTTGTTTTCATTTAATTGGACTTTGTTATATAAAATTAAATAAAAAAAAAAACAAAAGTTTCTCTCCGATCTGCCAAAATGTAGCATTTCTTAGGAACCCACTGTTTTCTTTTTCTGCTTCTTCCTTGCGTATTTGATGTTTCCTAATGTAGAAGGAATATAGTCATTATTATATTTAAGTTGAGGAATGGTATATGTTCCTAACTAAAATAGTGTCCATATTTAGAAAAAAAATATGAAAAAGTTATATTGAGTCAAAAAACATTTCAGAAGTAGCATTATTTAATATATAAGAACACAGAACACCATGACTACCTGTTACCATTTAGCCTCCTAACATTTTACCATTTTAATGCTTATTTAAGAGCTGTTCCCAAGTTTATTTGTCAAATAAATTCTGACACGTATTTATTTGGTTTGGGGAAAAATCTCCTAGAATAATAAATAGCTATGGAAACATCTTTTTATGTTCGGTCAATACATTAACAACTTTGCAAAGCTTTATTCCTATATTTCTAGTATATGAGGGATAGAATGAGCACACACACAACAAATATTTATTGAGTTACTGGGTAACATATTATTTATTAAAACACTCACACACAGAGACAGAAGCAACAGGAAGCTGACAGATTTAAAAGAGAAAAGTATTTTCTATAATTTATTTGGAGCTATGAACGTTATTGAAGTAAAATACTAGCCTCAAACACTTTTCCAACAGCTGAAATTAATTTTTATATTGTATGGTGATGAACATATAAGGCTCACTGGTTTTGAATATTCTATTCAAAATATCTCAAAATGAAAGAAAAGGATTTGTGCAGTCAACTATTTAAACTAGTAGAGTGATAGAAGCATAAAGGAGAATAAGCAAAAAAAAAAAAAAAAAAAGATGTTTAGATAATATATAAATACGAAATTGAGGTTTTCACATAAAACATTCAATTTGAATTTAAAAACTGATGAAATCTCAGGTAAAAGTATTAAAAAGACAGTATACATTATGAATTTTGAGATGTTGCTAACTATATCAGATATGTATATATCTACCTCCTGAATACCTTCAACTATATCAGATATGTATATATCTACCTCCTGAATACCTTCAATATACTCACTAGCTGATTGATAGACAATATGAATGATATTAATAATGAATACAGCACCATCCCCTAGGTATTAACTAATGTCTTTTTCATAATTTGAATGTGATAATTTTGAAAAAGGACTTAATCCATAATGTCACCATCTTTTCTTAATTCTGTATTTCCTATCACTCAGATGGCTCTCTCTGAGAAAGCTCTTTTTGGTATGTGCATTTTGTTTATGCTACACATGCCAAATAGATCTCCCAATATGAAACTTTGAGCTCATTTGGAAGTCATTTTTGGTAGCACATGAATCAGAACTCTTATTTTCTTCTCAGCACTACTGGTATTTTATTGCTTCCATCTATAGTCCAATATGCTTTTAGTGCTGAGAACCCTAAGGCCAAACACACAAAGCACTAAGAAAATGGGAACTTCTACTGATTCCAATTTTTGTCTCTCTTTCTGGTTTCTTCTCTCCCCTGAGAGAGTGAAATCATTTTAAGCTCACCATGAAACAGGAACATGGTGAGCATCAGCGATTGAATAACGCTGGAGATGTTGATTTAGGAGTCTTTGACTTATAGGTCAGGTGTAAAACCCTTAAACATGCTTGTCAAAGTCTGCTTGTCAAACTCCTATGAACTTTTTCCAGACTCTGCTCAAATGTCAAGGTCCTTTTGAAAGATTTTTCTGACCACCATAGGCAGAATTAGGTACTTCATATTATTATTATACCCAACATATTACTATGTGTCAAGATATAGCAAATTCTAGTGCATGTACAGCCTGTACTCATGGAATAGAGACAAAATTTTACTTCCTTTTATTTCTGGCTCAGCACATCAAATCAAGTTAATTATCAATAAATAATTGAAAGAATGGTCAGAGAATGAATAATAATACCCTTCATCTTCACATTATAGATTATGGAAAATCAATGCCCAGAGAGGCGATATGAACAACCCAAGTTCAAGACTGCCAATAGGTTGCACACCAAGTTTGCATGTCAGTAAAGTTAGCCACAGTAAGTGATTAACAAAATAATGAAAGAAATAAATTATAGCAATGCCTTATGACAAAAGTTATTAAAAACATTTGAGTAGTTTACCTCTGGAATCTTTCCTTTAATTATGGAGAGCAATAATTGATCTGAACTACAAAACTTGAAATTACAAATAGGAGTATTGCTCATGTGTTTGTGTATTCATATTATAACTCTTACATTTTGAAATTTGTTTGATTACTTCTTATTGTTAGCAGATCACATATTAATATTGATTGAGTCAAAAAGTTAAATATGTATCTTCGTTAAAGGTCAAAGGCCAACCTCAGCTTTTATTCTCAGCAAAGAAATGAAAAGCAATTATGACATTTAACGAAGTTTGGTGTAGTTTGTACTATTATCAGAGTTGATGGTTCAACTGTTGAGACATACCCGGATTTGTATCTTAAGAACTAGGAGGAAGTGGTTCCTCCAAGCCTATTCTTATCTAAAATTGTCTAAGTCCTACTTAAACCATTTTATGGAACAGTATTACTAATTAGCAGAGTCCCACTTAACAAATAATGTTTGGGTGACAGGAACACACCTCAAATGACAAATAGTTTGGCTGTTAATTGACTTTCCTTGATAGGGAATAAAAATCTATAACAAGAAATCAATACAGTTAGTTATTAGATATATAAAGATATCAATACAAGCTCAAAAATATAAATGAAACAACTCACCATGATTTAAAATATATTACTCACCAAAAACAGGGTTCTGAAGTTGTTGAGATCACCAAAAAAGTCTTCTATGGTTACTGTGTTTGGGTCAAAAATGAAGTATTCTCCCAGGTTCTCATAGAGCTTCACCATATTGTTGTGCATAGTGGACAGTTTTTCATATTGCTCTCTGGCATTCTTTGTAAAGCTGTAACTTCGTGTTAAAGAATTTTGTTAAATAACATTTCAGAGGTAGCCATTAGATGTCAAGACTAACCATTTCTTCTGTAAATATACTTGTATATTTGTGTACTAAAACTGCCATTATAAAGTACCATATTCTGGGTGCTTTTAACAACACAGTTTATTTTTTTCATACATCTAGAGGCTAGAATTCTGATTGAAGAATATTGGGATATTTAGTTTCTTATGCAGCCTCTCTCCCTTGGCTTGCAGGTTGTTGCCTTCTTATTGTGTCCTCATATCATTGTTCATCTGTTTGGTTGTATGTGTTCAAATCCCCATTTCTTAAAAGGTCACCTGGCACGTAGTATTAAGATATACCATATATATATTTAAATTATTACTCTTTCAAGGCCCTTTCTTCAAATATACCCTTTCTGAGGAACTTCCAGTACTGAGGGACCTGGCTGTCTGGCCCTCAATTCATGAAGAATGGGATGTGCAGGGAATGTCACACAATCCAGTACAAGAGTTTCTACAGATATATTGCTTACCAAGTTTGAAAATCTTTCAATTGAACAGAAATATTTAATGTATAACATGTACACCTGTTTGTTAGAACATGTTTGCTAAATATACATCAGAAAACTACCTCCATTTCTACATATGTAAATTTATTATATGTGTTCATATACACATGCAGAAATGCATAAAAATATTCATAGCCCATATGAAGAGGAAAGGAACAGTAGGAAAAAAGGTCTCTCTGACATTCCTTTCACTTTCCTCCTCAAAAACAGCCCAAAAGAGAATTTTTTGAATTACCACTTGACCAAGTCCTAAGACCATCAATCCAGAGATGCCTACTGCATAACTATAGAAAAAGGATTCCATTGCCTCTGAAGAGCATCATAGAGAAGCGCCTGAATGTGTCTTGTTAAATTTTACATCACATTTTTTTCTCACTGATGATTTTCCATGACTGTGTGTTCTTCATCAAATCTTATGCTTAAAATATGCATTGATCCCCTCATTGAATTTTTCATTTTGTCATCTCTCATGTCACATAAAATGTAAATAGCCATGGGATCACTCATGTTTATAATCACACATTCAAGTTTAGCCTGTGCTATACAGCAAGACCTTGTCAAAAATTAAAACTACATGTAATAATCTACATCTATCTATCTCTATCAAATACAGTTTTAGAACAATTGAAAATGAACCTTTTATGATAAATATAAAACCATAAATGTGCTTACTATAATTTCAAGGTCTGGTGTAAGTTTGAATATTTTAGAGTATTTGCTCCTGGTCTTTCCTCTTTGGCTAATTCATACAAGTGGTTGAGAGAACAATAAGGGAATAATTATGAAGAAAAGAGGAAGCCAAATCAATATTTAAAACCTAGAGTTAAGTTCATTAAAAGTGGTTGGTGATCACAAAGTAAAATTGTAATATGGGTCCAAATGTATTTTCGTTGGCATACTACTTTTGTTTTTCTATTGGAAACAATGAAGAAATCAGGTCATTTCTGTAAAATTGATTGGTAGCTGACAGTATATACCATGACTTTGAAAATGAGATATCACTTATCCATGGTCTTTTTAATACATTCGCTTTCTGCTAACCAGTGTAATTAAATCATTCAACCCTCATATTTATTTTGACATTAATAGACCTGAAAGAATGAATACCTTTATAACTGCCTTTTTTCATAAAATACACATGCTTCATATACATTGATTTTATTATGGACAAGTATTAGCATAAGATTTTTACTTTTAACACTGTGTTCAGATATTAAACATTCTGTTTCAGTGGAGCAGAAATTAGACACTAGTCTGTATTTCGAAGCACAGAATTAAAATGATTGTTTTATTTCCTTAACCACCCCCCAGCACACACAAAGAAAAAAGGAAAAAGAAAAGAAATACAGACACATGCCAGAAGCTTTGGGCAGAAACAAATTGCAAAAGTCACATATGTGCAATTATTTGCATTGAAAATTACGAAAATATATTTCAGGATGCTCAACTCTGTAAACCAGTGGAGAAGTGAAAGCTAACAACAAAGGTATTATCTACCTAATTTACTCTAACATACCTTTTTGGATGCTACAATATATTTATGTAGTGATACACATTTTTACCAATTTGTTTTCAAAGTCCAAAAACTGATTTCAGAAATCCTGTGTTCCCAAGTGAGAAGTTCTAGAATTCTATGAATAGTTTATCTTTGCAATAGTAAATGGAAAGCAGTCCAGCTTTACTTACCTCTACAGTCATCACTGTCTAAAAGGGATGGATATATCATCCCTGAAATATTTCTGAATCACAATCATGCCACCAAATCTTACATGTGACTCCACAATTAAGCAAAAAGAACTGAACATGCTGGGCATGGTGACATCCACTTTGAGGTAGAAGCTGGTGGATCTCTGTGAGTTCAAGGCTAGCATGTTCTACAAAGAGAATTCCACGACAGTCATAGCTTTACAGTGAATCTCTGTCTCAAATATAAAAACGAGTAAGAAAAAAAACAAATAACAACAACAGAAAAGAAAACCAAAACTAAACCCAAAAGAAATAAAGAATGAAATTATACAGCTCTTTCTATATGTTGCTCTTTTTTTCATGTCTTTATTTTACTTATAAAATTTAATTTTGAATTGCTACTAATGCAAGATATTGTTTCAGTGATAAAATAATAATTAAAGCCTTAATCTCTACACAGAATGGGTTACTATTACAAATAATAATGATATTCTCAACTGATATTTTGTATATGACTAAACATACCTTTCTTTATATTATGTTCCATAATTTTTCCAAACCAACCTTTTCACAAAGCAATGAAATACCACTGTGATAATTTTAAATTTGTGGCCATTAAATAGTAGTCACTCTTCCATATAGAGTTAGAATATATAGTAATAGCCTCTGACTTTTTGTATAGTAAAATGACAAGTTAAATTTGATGGTTGGAAGTTGCTTAAAGTTGATTATTTGGACCACAGAACCAACTCCTCCAAACTGTCCTGAGACCTCTTCCACAAATATGGTGTTTGCACACTTGCCTCTAAATAAATAAAATGTATTAGGAAACAATACATTTTTCATGTATGTAATGTGTGTTTACTATGGAGGCTGGGGCAGAAGGAATTTCTACTTATTTGTAATATTAAGTAAGTCTCTCCTTAACTGGAATATGTCTGTAATGAAGGACAGAAATGTATTTTATTAGCAGAGACTTACACTGTTCGTATTCTATGTGAGTATTTAAGGTTGAAGATAATGGATTTCGGGACATATGCTGTAGGATACTGTGAATGATTTGATTAGGCCAGAAATTCTGCTCTAAGCTGGTTTTTGAGAAAACTCAAAGAGAAGCAGATGGCTATGTTCAGAGTACATGGAAATGCAGAAGGATAGCTGATGGTGGTCACAGAATGGAACTATAGTAAAACTACAATAGCTAACTCAGGTACCACTGAAGACATTTGTAAGAATGACAGCACCAAGGGCCATTTGATCCTGAATGTCTAGAAAAATTAACTTAGAGGTCACAGAAAAGTGGCCATAGTTCTATCAATATTTAAGAGTAGGTTTCTGAGGACTAGATTATCCTGGGTTAAAAAGATACAATGCCTCTTCCATCTATTCAAAAATCTTGACCTATTCAGAGATGAACCCCGGGAAAGCCATGAACTTTCTATGAAGAGAGCAATTCAAGGTAATTTATATGCCACATTACACGTACTCAGATGGTGGTGGGGTGGGACAGATCCATCATATAAAATAATCAAATATGAGAGGATGAAAGAATATTTCCAAACTCCTTTCCTTTCACCAGACTGCTTTCAAATTTTTTGTACAATACTGAAAATCCTTCTGAACTTTTAAACATGGAACTTAAGAAACTCAGAACTAGCCGGGTGGTGGTTTGCATGCCTTTAACCCCAGCTCTCATGAGGCACAGGCAGGTAGATCTCTGAATTTGAGTACAGCCTGGTCTACAGAATGAGTTCCAGGAGAGCCTATGATAAACAGAGAAACAGTGCCTTGAAAAACAACAACAAAAAACAAGCTGAGAACTAAAAGCATATCAAGCTATCTTTCAAACAAGTGTTCTTTGAAGCATTTAAACGTGCATAGCATTTTAAAACATTAGAGATGCCAACCATTTTAGTGTAGTATTAATTGGAAAACTAATTGAGTCTCAATCATGAATCTGAAAAGTTAATCTATAAAATGCACATCCTAAGTCCACAAAGCATTTTCATATTAATTCATCTAAGGACAGTATGATCACAAGTTCCTGGTGATGTGTAGAGTTATCTACAGCTTGTTTGTTGTTGTTTTGCTTTTTTTTGGGGGGGTTGTTGGTTTTTTCAAGACAGGGTTTCCATGTGTAGCAATGGCTGTCCTGAACTCCCTCTGTAGACCAAGCTGACCTTTAACTCATAGAGATTTGAATGACTCTGCCTCCCAAGTGTTGGTACTAAAGGTGTGCACCACTACTGCCTGCCTATCTAAAGTTTTGATCATTTATATTTTTGTGAAAATATATAAATTTCTAAAGTTCATATGCCTATGTAGTATAAAAACAGTGTGAACTTAAAATTCAGCCTGAAAAAAAATGCTCTCCAACTGGAAACTGAACTACTTTAAATGAGGTAGAGAAAACTGTTTCTCATTTTACTTAACTTTGATGGACAGAGTAATTATTACAAGAGAAAAAGTGTTTTATTTTAAGTGGAGTGAGCATTAGCAGAGCACTGGGGGTGACAGAGTTTATATATCATGTGGCTAATTGAGTCAAATCAGTTCTTAAAACTTTCATTTTTGTAGTCAGTACATTAGTTACTAACAATTTTAATAAAAGCCTGAAATATTAAATATCATTACTGGTGGATTGTTGGAGAACATGGAAAAGTCAACTTGAGATTCACTTAACCTTCACACAAGTTTTGTTAGCAACATGGTATAATTGCCCATTTAAAGAAAAAGATGTCATAAATGCAG